TGAGTTGCTCTGAAAATTTCAATTTTATAAAGTAGATAAACTTCAAAAAATAAATAATGGCCGACTAATTGAGCGAACGGTTTTATCTTTAAATATTTGTATCATGCGAGAGTTATATGTTCTTCCGTTTTTATTGTAAGATTCTGGCGTGCGAAAATTATGTCGAATACTATTGAAAATATTATTATATTAAGTAAAAAATGCAATTATTAAGGAATAAATTAACATGCTGATATACCATTATACTGAAAAGTGTACGATTGGAATATACTTTAGCTACACGTATATATGTACATTTCTAAGTATATACATAAATATGTATGTAATTTATATAAAACTTGCTTTTACAAAGGAAAAAATAAATAAATTACATACATACATACGTACCTATCGAGCCCTAACCGCCAAAATAACGTCAGCGCCATTTATTTCAAAGTTCATCTAGATGCCCTAGGAATATTTCTGCATCAAAAATTAAATTTTGAAAAAAATGTCGCTTACGTTTACGTTATTTTGGCGGTTAGGGCTCGATATGTACATATACAGCTTGAAACGAGTTGATTGTACGTACATCAAACGAGTCATACGTACTTTTCTGCTTAATGTTCAACTCATTGTCATGTACATTTGTTTCCAACCAAATCTTGGTTGCGTATATTTTAAACAAGCTTTCCTATTGAACAGCGTTTCATCAAACATGTAATTGCTTCGCTTGTATTGCCGTACTGGAGTGCAACTCATTCCTATGAGTTGCCGTGCAACGTGTTGGCTCGAAACTCGAAATACATAGACAAGATGCCAAATTCATATATCTAAAAAGTTTCCCCGATCTTCTGCTCCTACATATATTTGGTGCATGTCTTGATAACACCAATGACAGGTTTTCTTAGGAGAATTCATTCATCACTGAAATACGCCGCATTCAGATGATTTATGTGGTGTAGTTGTAAACAGTGCGCGCTTCCACTCCGCTGCGCCTGGGTTCAAGCCCTGGTCAAGGCAACATAGAAAAAATATAGAAAAAAGGTTTTTTCTTAACAGCGGTCGTCCCTCGGCAGGCAATAGCAAAGCTCCGAGTGTATTTCTGCCACGAAAAACAGCTTCTCATAAAAATACAATCGCCGTTCGGAGTCGGCGTACAACTGTAGGTCCCTCCGCTTTGTGTGACAACATCAAGGCGCACGCCACAAATCAGAGGAGAAGCTTGGCCAAACACTAACATATGTGTAAGCGCCGATCTATTATTATTATTATTAGATGCATTTATTTACAAATATACAAATATGCCGCTGGTATCACTATTATCTATAACATAAATGACAAATATGCCGCTAGCATCACTATTATCTGTATATTAATACGGCACTCACGGTGCAGCGGACAAAGGTGGCGCCGTCAGTGGTACAGCTACTTTGGTTTTTGCCGATTTTGACAGTTGTAACTAATAAATAAAACTTTTGCTTACAAATCAGCGTCAAAGAGAAATTTGAATTATAAGTGAAAAATCAGTTTAAATTGTGTTAATTTGCAATTTGTGAGTGATTTTTGAGTTGAAGACTGCGTAGAAACTAATAAAATGAAGAGCCGTGTTAAATTGCGACAGCCGTCAAGATGCAAGATGCGTAGATGCAAGTGTAGCGCTGCGACGAATCGCTGCATTTGGTGTACATAGGGCGCGGCAAAGCCGAAATGTTTCTTTGTTATTATATTGACAGCATTTCATCACAATGATTTCACTTCTGCTCCAAGCAGCATCTTTTTCAAAGCAATGGAGTGCACTAAAACGTTTGCTGCAGCAGCCTCAATTGCGAAGCAATGGAGTACACGAAAACGTTCATTATTCTCTAATAGATTAGGTGAAAAATGCAATGTTTTCGCATTTAGCAAAGTTAAACACGTTTTTCGCTGTAAAGTGAACTGTTTTGGCTGTTTAAATTCGTTCTTCTTTTCGCTCTATTTTTTGTTTACTTGTGGTACACAAATGTCAACGGCCAGGACGGCGCAATCTTATATTCTACCATTCTTGTACGGCACCCTAAAATTGTGCATATGGGAAGGGGCTCCGAAATTGCGCATATGGAAACTGTGCATTTAGACTTTATTTCGGTTTTGAACCGAAACTGTGCATGTAGGCATTACCTCGTTTTTTTTTCATATTGTTACGATTATCCTCGAAACCTTGAGGGATTTCCCAAATATACTCGGGCTCGTATCGCTGGATTGTTAAATAATTGCTAACGATGACCAAATGGTAGTACAATTAACTTTATTGTCCAACAAACAATTTACAATAATTGCTANTCCTTCGGGATTTATTTAACAATCCCACTTCTGACACCAATTGTTACGATTATCCTCGAAACCTTGAGGGATTACCCAAATATACTCGGGCTCGTATCGCTGGATTGTTAAATAAATGCTAACGATGACCGAATTGTAGTACAATTAACTTTATTGTACAACAAACAATTTACAATACTTGCTAATACAGTAAAAACACTTTACAATACTTGTTAAAGCAATAACAACGCTTTACTACTTGTTAACACAATTAAACTTATAGCTTGCTTATTCGCAACTCAATTCTCCGCTCACTTTACTTGTAGCTTGCTGTCTTGTAACTAACTCACCTCGTGGTGGCGGCGCCCTTATATACCTGCGCTGGCACTTATGGCAACTCTAGAACATTCTGAAGTTTATCCCTCATTCTCTTTCGCTCGCTGTTCGCAGTGTTCATCCAACTTGACGTTTCTCTTTGTGGAACATTCTACGTCATTCCTCGAACATTCTGCCTATTTCTCGTTGTTCGCTTCGCGTTGCCGCAGTATTCGCCACAATATGCATTACTTCTAGTGATATGCTGAATTGTCGGTACCCAATACTCGGTACCCAATACTTGCAAAACATTTCGGTACCCAATACTTCCTTTTCGGTACCCGATACCGATTCGATACATGAAACCTTCGCTATAATTGGGCAATTCACAAGGTGTTGTGAAGTTATATTTTCCTAACAAAAGTTGTGTTAAAACACGACGGTTGTGAACACCTGTTACGATTATTTATAATATCTCAGCACTTAACCTCACATAACACCGAATAAACATAGGTTGCAGAGTTGTATCGTGTGTATGTGTTATTTTTCTTCACAAAACAATAACAACATTTTTACAACTGTCATGAAATATCATGACTTCACGACAAACACGACAAATACGACACCTTGTGAATTGCCCAAATATATATTTAAATTTTGAAAAGAATTTATTTCATAGCTATTTTATATGATATTGCCTAAAAGACCCTAAATGTACAAATCAGACGATGTTTTCGTAAAATATTAACAAGCATAATATGTACGGCAACCGCATCTCGACAATACTGCCATCACAAACACTCATCCCTTTCTTGTACTTATCGCAACAGTCCTACCAACCGCTATAGTTCTTGCGGCAACGTTGTTAGACTTTTTCAAATTCGCAATAGCTGTGGTAACTCTCTTTTCAAAGAAAATCTACGTTTGAATATTATACATTAACGTTCGAAATGGCGTCGCGTTTGAGTAAGTATTTTTACAATATTAGCTTAGAAATTACATGCTACAAATATTTAATTGCAGAAAACGAAGGTAAACGGAACGGATTATGGCAGCACTTTACAGCGGTGGATGCAGTAAGGGCACAATGCGATTTTTGTAAAACTACTCTGTCTTACAAAGGTATGCCTATATATTTGCTCATTATTTAATAACTAAAATTATTTACAATAAATATATTACAATAATTAGGTGGAGGTACATCCAATTTACGAAAGCATCTCCTTGTTAAGCATCCATCAATTGAGTTATCGCAAACAACATCGGTAAGAAACGATGGTAAGTGTTTTATTGCATTGTAACGTTTCCATATATGTATTTATGTATTTCAAATTTAACATTGTACATAGAACATGCCACAATGGCCCCTGAACATAGTACGTCATCAGCTACAAAACAAACGAGGCTCAGCAACTACACGCAACCGAAATTATCAAAAGAAATGGTAACAGCTTTAAATAAGAAGCTACTGCAAATGATAATGAAAGACTTTCAACCGTTCTCCATTGTCGAGGACGTTGGCTTTAAAAACTTCATCAGTGGGCTGAATCCCTCTTATCATATTCCATCTCGCACATTTTTAACGAAGAAACTGTTGCCACAAGTTTATGAAGAGCGCGTAAATGAGGTGAAGCAAATTTTGTCAGAAGCCAATTTCGTATGCCTCACCACAGATGCATGGACATCTTTAACAAGTGAAAGTTTTGTATCGCTTACAGCTCATTTTATATCCAACATTTGGCAGCAAAAAACTTTGGTTTTAAATTCTTTTAGAATGAATGAACGCCACACTGCCATTAATTTTCGAAATGTTTTAATAGATTCAGTAACTGATTGGAATATCAGTCAGAAAATTTGCGCAGTTGCGTCCGATAACGAATACTTAAAAGTATCGACTCAGCACATCACTAATTACTTCGCTTTAAAACGAAAGTATGCTTATGCATAATTTCGGTATTTTCTCATATTCATTATTTCGGTTTTCAACCGAAACTGTGCATGTATGCATTACTTCGTTTTTTTTTTATGCATTATTTCGGGTTATAACCGAAAGTATGCATATGCATAATTTCAAAACGCTGCATTAGCTTATTTCAAGTGTAGAGCAGGGATTGGCATTGGTTGAACTTAAACTGTTTCATACTCAATCAATACTGCTCTGTTGGATTTAAATTACTTCACGTCTTTATTATTCAACAGCGCCGCCTATCGGCTTATATACACATTGCAATTTCTATTCATTGTAAACAT